TTATTTATCTTGTACATCATGGAGAGCCTGGATTGTCGTCGTCGTTTCTCCAATGGTGACCAGCCTAGTGTTTCTAGCATGCTGCCAACACTTGAGGTATTCCTGTAGCGGTTTAGGACAAAGCGTGCTGCTTGTCGCTGGACCGCCTCCAACCTGTCAATGCTCTTCTGGGTAAATGGGTCCCAGACTGAAGATGCATAATCTAAAATCGGACGGATAAAGGCTTTATATGCTCTTTCTTTCACACAGGAGTTGCCAATCTTTAGATTTCGCCTTAAGAACCCTGGGGTCTTGTTTGCTTGGTTATATACATTGTTAATATGCTCGTCCGAGCGGACCTCTCTTTGAATGGTAACACCCGGGTAATTTACGGAGGAAACTTGCTCAAGTATATGGCCGTGCAGTTCGTATTGGTAGTGTAGAGGAGTACATTTCATCTTAAAAGCATGACTGATAAAGTAGAGATAAGGGTTAATTATAAAATGTATAATAACATCATGCTTTTAAAAATTCGTTTTCAGAATTAATTTTAATGTTCTCTATTCCATCCATGTATATTGAGTTAGATAAAATGAAACTTTAAAATAAAATGAAATTTTAAAACAAAAATGAGTAATTTAAAGTTTGCATACAAATAGTGGACGGTTCATCAATTATCATTAAAACGAGTGCGTTTCTAATTTTGTAACACAGTTTCGGGAAGGGAACAACAGAGTAAAAGGAGGGGGGGGGGTGGTTTTTTTATATTTTTTTTTAATCACATGAAATCACAGATTAATAAATAAATGATGTGTTTTGTAAACAACTCATGTCTTCTTAACATAATTATGCCGGTTGTATACAATTTATAAAAAAATATCAGTTTTGAAAATCCATAAACTTTAAGAAGTATAGCGCTTTCTACAAAAGAGTTTTTTTTTTTTTCTTTTGACTGTGGTAAAACTTTGAAATATTTAGAAATAAACGTATGATTTAGGTTTTTCTTTTTCGTTCAACATGTGATATTATTTTAGAAATTCTTATTTGTTATGGATACCTTTTTGGAAGGAATGTTTCTTATCCTTTAGAAAATTGTTTTGTTAATTTAAATTATTATTTAAGTAGTTTATTTCAAAAACTAAAAAACACAACAACAACAAAAAAAAAAAAAAAAAAAAAAAAAAAAATAATAATAAAAAAAAAAAAAAAAATCATTAAAAGTTTTGAGAAGTATTTATCTACTATACTATATATTATACGCCTACCCTACCCAGGGTTTCTTTCAGGCATACTTTGGGGGGGGGGGGGAGCCAGTCAAGTGCCCCCCGGGGGGAAAATGTGTAAATAAATTATACTTTTTTTAAATAAAAATCTATTGGTACTAAATTGTATTTGTTATAAATTATTTTTAATGTAATAGAAATGTGCGCCATTCATGGCTTACAATTAATGGAAAAAATAAAATACCGCTTTATTCGATATATATTGAGGATCCACAAATCACATTGTTCAGGTTAATCTTGTTACAGGCTCATAGAATTTGATTGTATGTATCGTATTATTTTGAAAATTTTCCACTCCTGATCATAAGCCAAATGACACTTTATTTTTCGCATTCATCAGCATATTTATTTATTTATATTTTTCTACTTCACAAGGTGAAATACTAAATAACGCTGTATTAAACTAACTTTACATCGATAAATGTCTATAAATTGAATATAGTTGTTGCTAAGTTGCATGTGCAGCCCGTTTTCTTCTTCTTCTTCTTCTATATCTTAAGGGCCCACGATCAATTTATTGATCATTTTGGCTCCTATGCATGTAGATGGGATTTGCAATGTTTCTGTTACTGGTGTTGATGAGGAAATCATGCACTAGGNTTTTTAGTGTATTTTTTTACAGAAATTTTATTCATCTTATAATAATAATAATATATACCCACTTTACTGTTTGCAAAGTAAAAACAAAAATATATTTTAATTTTCTAAAAGAAAATCTAAACCCATCTCTGTTTTGAAAATTAAATTATCACAGTGTAAAATGATTGTGATTTGATATCTATGGGTATACTTATGTAATTGTACCTACGTTTTTTTAACGTCATTGATTTTTTTTAAATTGTTAAAAATATGTTTATTTGTAAAATGAGAATATAACATCTATTTTCCACAACTGTAATATCATTTGATTTAAAGATACAGTTATTTTTTCTTCCATCAGTACCAAATCATAATGAACAATAATCTATATTGGTTTGTGTTGCTTATGGTTGAAATGGGATGAAAGACTTTGACTTGGTATGCTCGTATGTAGTTTTTGTATTGTTGCGATTGTTTTAAATGTGTTAAATTATAGATTGTTTTTATTTCTCTCTTTTTTTAATATGGTTGACTTTGTACCGCGTGTTTTTCGAATAAACTTTATTATTAGTATTATATTGTCATCCACGTAAAAATGTTTACACCCCATTTCCTACCCCCCCCCCCCGATATATTTGTAGCTAAGAAGGTTAATTATTTATCAAATTCATTCTGAGGCGTATCTCCTACTGCCTGGGACAAGATAAAAGTATCGTATCTCTACCCCCCCCCCCACATAGTTTTAAAAAAATAATAAAATCATGCTCGGGATTGTAGCCTACGCAAAAACACATTTTTTGCACTTCATGAACTTCATGTGTTTTTTTCTTATTTGGATGAGTGATAAGTGCATTAGTGAATGCTATTTGGCTATGGGGTATCGCTGCACTGATTGACACAAGAGGAATTTTCTTATTAAAAGGTTAAGTTTTTATTACTTTATAAATTTAATAAAAGAAAGTATGTTTTTGGAATGAATACAAAGTAAAAACTTATAAAATGTTAAAAAAAGAAAGCTAACATTTTTGTGTTTCATTAATAATTTAAGAAGCAATCAATTATATGTATTTATTTTACGTTTAAGAAGGGTAAAATTCATTATCAGTTCTGTTATTAAATAAAAGAAACTTAGAGCTTTGGCCTTGGCAAAAATGGGTAATCGCGATGTGACGTTATTTGTGTATTTATTTTGATTAAATGAACATTATTTTTATTTCGCAACAACGCACTAAAGACGCACCAAAAAAAAAAAAAAAAAAAAAAACAAAAAAAAAAAAAAAAAAAAAAAAAAAACAACACATTACTATTCAGTAATATATAAAATATTTATTTGTTTAAAACACCTGGTCAAGCAGAGACGTCGCTACTTTTCAGTTTTGTCCGTCCTTAACGAGAATTAAATGTTGATAATTAAGAGTATTTACAGCCCCTAAAATATACGAGGCCCAGACTGCTGTAAGGGCTGCAGAGCCCTTATAAGGTCAAGTGACGCCTAAAATCTTAAATAGCACA